AGATAAATGTGCTCCAGCAGCTCCAAACAGTCAGGTAAGGACCTACACAAAACAGGCAAAAAAAGGGAGGGGAGTCCCAATTTTGGCAGTTATAAAATCACTAGCTCAATCACACTGTTTAAGCTCTATTTGCAATGCAGTCACTTCCAGATTACTTGTGTTCAGACACTAGACTGCAGGCGCTGCACTGATACACAGAGCTGGGGCCTCCACGGAGCTGCAGAGCGCAGCGCCTGCAAATCTGCCTGGATTTGTTACCTGGGCCTCATAGGCTCTTCGTGGCTTTAGAATTTTTGAAGAATATTTCAAAGATGTACTAATTTTTTTGCATCAAGGACAGATGACATCGTCTGTGTATTTTATGCTTCTCTGCTGCAGTATAATTCTGCACATTATAAAGATTAAGACACATGGTGAAATCAGGATTTTAAAGTGTCTGTTCATTAATTTATGCCCTTCTCTCCAAAATCACTTTGGAAAATACTAATTGATATGAATCTCCGTTCTTACAAAGATCTCTTATTAAAAAAAACTCAGGAAATCACTGTATTTTGCTGTTCAGCCACTTTCCTGACAAAGCACAGCTAATGAAGTAACAGCCACTTGCAATGAGCATCAGGCTTCAATACCTGTCAATAAGAATAAAGCAAGTACCTCCATAAACGAATAAAAATGCAGATAATACAAACATTTATAATTTCAGTTACAAACTGAAGCAATTTCTATTTTTTTCCATTCCTTGTAGGCAGAACTGAGATATAATAACCTTTTTTTTTTTAAGAAAAAAAAAGCCAATTTGAAAGACTGGCCTTGTCAGCACTAACAGCAAGACAAATTTCTAACACTAAACTATGCAGCTTTAGATTAAGAAACGACCACTACATTACACACTGACTTTTGAGCACAGCAATCTTTTTTCTTAAAATCCAAGAAAAGCAGAATTTCTTCAGAAGGTTGTACTTTAATATAACTAGTGACAAGTATAGCAACAGAAGTAATACTCAACTAAGAATTTACTTACTCCATTAGTAGGCTATTAATGTAATCATTTCCATCCATATGGCCAAATTGGAAATCTCTGGTAGAGACACAGTGAAAAGCATAATCATGAAATAAATAATGAGAATAATGAGTTTCAGTATCAGAAGTTCCTCCTTAAATATTTTTCTTGCAAGTGAAGACAGCACACACTGAATGCACAATATATTTTGAAAAACAGGCCAGACTGCAGAATAGACAACATTCCAAAACATGACTGATGAAACTGGTCTTATGCGCGAATATTATTTACATTAGCATACTAATAACAAGGCACAACACTATTTTTATGTCAAAGCGACTGCTGTTTTAGAAATGTCAATGCTGAAGCTCAGTCTAAGATGCTGTAGTACCACAGAAGCATACCTGTGAAAATGATCCCGATAATCTCTAGCAACTTCCTGAATAATAGATTTTAGTCTGGAGAAGAAAAAAAAGTTGCACTGGTATGTAAGGTATATTCCATCAAAATCCAAACAAGACACATTTAGATTTTTGTAATAAGGAGTAACTTATCTCATCAGCAATTTTTCTAATTCCAGTAACAAAACACCTTGTTCACCTTGCATGCTTTCTTAGGATTGAAATGTTATAGAGTCTCAATATGAGAAAAACACAAGAGAGGCTATCTTGATCCATCCATTTCTTTCCTAAGGATAGAGCATTGTGCTCTTGAATAAAAAAGTAGAACTGGAAAAATAATATACATGGAATTTGAACAATATTCTTAGCTGATTAATCTAATCAGAAATGGAGTTGGGGCAGCGTGATTCCTCCCAATTTCTTCAGCAGACCCAGCTGAAAATAACCTCTCTGGATACAGGTCCGACATACAACAAAAAGTTAAGCAACATCAAATTCATTTTAACACAACTGAGACAAACTTTAACAAAAAAGATGATTATTCTTCATCTCAGCTGCCTGAACTCAAGTATTCTTTTCTGTATTGAAAAGGTAACATATTAGTTTTTTAGAAAGCTATTCAGTTATTGCCACAAAGATCAAAAATGCTTATTTCTTATGTCTTCCTGTGATCTCATAAGTGAAGTGATACAGAAATTCCAATCAAACTCTCACTGAAAACTTGCATGGACTTCAAAACAGCCATAAACTGAGTAAGCTCAGTAAATTAATAATTTGGAGATCATTCACAAGTTGAAACCTTTCATTTAACTTATTCTCGAATAGTTAAAAAGTTTCAGGAAATTCCCAAAATTCTATAAGCCAACAATGTTTTCTGCCAGATCAGCACTTTTCTCTCAGTGTCACCAATACTCATTTCTGTACCTCATATGTTCCACTGACGAGTTTTTATCATCAATGACAGCAATAGCCACAAGTTTCCCTAAAATAAGGAATGAAATATATTAAACCATTAAAAAAAAAAAGCACACATATTCCCCTTATGAAACATACTTATGACCTAGAAGATCTAGCAGGAATTAATTTCCAGGAAACTAATCCATTAGTTTCTAGCAGGAATTAGTTTACTAACAAACCTGGAACGGCAAATAACCTCTTTTAGCTGACCAAATGCCAGTTTTCTTAAACTGTTGAAAATACACTAACATGTGGCTTAATGCAACATCTTTAGCACTCTATGACAAGCACAGAAGAAAGAAGTTAAAGAATAAAGAAGTTAAAGAAGAAAAGTATGGACAAATACATAGTTTATATAGACAGGAATCCAAGAGGCATATTTGCATATACATAAATATTATGCTATGAAAAACTATTATAAAGATTATATAAAACTAATATTAAATTATATTAATATTATATAATTACAAGCTGGTTCAAAGTGATCTAACCACGATTGTCTTAATTAAACATCCCTTATTTTTGTTCAATATTCTTAAAAATCTGGAGTCGTATTCTTACAGAAAGAAAAGGTAGGAATTTAGTGACAGACAAAAGAAATCATTAAACAAGAAAGACAGATTCTTAGTTCAATCCTTGCCAGAGAAGCTTGGTTAATCAGAGGAGCTTTTGCAAGACCCTCCACACAGATTTACCAAATAACCCCAAAAGAACATAGTATTTTTTCTAAAGAACATGAAACTTTTTTCCCAAACACTTTTTAGATCAAGAAGTAAAAACAGAAAAAAAGATGAATTCCTGAATTCCAGGTACTGGGTGAAATGGTAATATCTCCATCATATTACTAAAGTTATTGCTTCCTTTTTTTTTTCTTGTAATTCAAGGAATTGAGGAAAAAAAATTAAACAGCAAGACACAGCTACATTTAAACATTTTGGAACACTTCTGTAAATATCCTATAAAAACATATGTATAATAATATGCTTTTTACAAACATTTAAGATTAGACATTTCATAATCCTTAATACCTGAAATAAGTCAATGTTACATTGACTGAAACGTTTAGGCATCTTTCTTTTTAAACGGAAGGTATATTTTAAGGAGGAAAACTCTGGAAAACTAGTCACAAGAATCTGCTACTTTGGTGAATGTACACCTCAGATATAGAACAGATCACTTGTCACACATCACTTAGCTTTGAAGTTTTCATTTGACTTGGAAAATTTTATTAGAGAAAAGCTAAAGCAAGGTGTTCACTTTATCACATGTTCTTCTCCTTTCTTCACCATATCCATTCTAAAGATGGATAGTCAAAACTTTAGACAAATCTAAGCTCCTTTTAAAAATCCCTAAAAAGAATAATAAAATTCTTTGTAGGTATTTGAGGACTTAAAGGACTTAAATTTGAGGACAAAAATTTTATGTTCAAAGCTTCACTCTTTTTTTCTGACTGTTACAGGACTAGACAAAGTTGTATGTTACAAAGAAACGACTACTGTAGGCTTTGGCTGATGCCACAAATCAATAAAAACAGTCTCATCAACTTCAAATGACAGTAGACACTATCAATTTTAGCAGGTTAATTACTTTTAAAAACACGTTTTTAGATGATTTTTGATATTGGATGGTGTTTAAAAGATGTAGAAGAATTCAGTGGTAGCACTTTCTCACCTGTATCTCCAAGTTCATACAATGTAAAGCCATCTACATTAAGATAACCTTGAAATCTTTCTCTGTTTATCCAAGATGTCAGATCACCATCTTCATACTCTAAAAAAAAAAAAAAAAAAAAAAAAAAAAAAAAAACCCTGAAGATTAAACAAACAAGCAAACAGAAAACTCACTTCTTTTTTCGAGACTGCTTCCAGTACTTTAGATAGAAAGGCTCTTTTGTCAACGTTTTTTTTCCTGTCATTAGATACAATCGTATGAACACATTTCTCTTTAGTTTTAAGAATTCTGTAACAGTATTTTCAATATTTTAACAGTTATAACAGTATTTTTATTTAACAGTATTAATAAATTTAAAGCAAGTATATTACAGCAGTTGAGTAGAAACTGCTATAGTTGATTTGATAATTACCCAAATCATGGGTAAATAAAATGCTGTTTGAAGAGATGACTGTGACCCAGTGCAGAAAGGAACAGTTCCTATGTTGTAAGAGAGTTTAAGTGAGGAGATGCAAAAATACAGAAAGCAATATTGGTGAAAGCTCTTAAACAGAGTAAAAGGAAATCAAGAAAAGACTAGGATTTCAACTGCTAGTTGTTAGAACCTGAAAAGAAGCTAATTCTAGCCTATGCCATTAGATCTTAATCACAAGTAAACTGGAAAAACTTCTTAAACAAACTTGTTTCAGGCCCAACTGTTGCACATAGTGAACTTGAGGTTCTGAATATTGTTACAATGAACTAAAACTAGAGCAAACAAACTCCAAGTTAAATTTCAATCTGCATTCTTTTTCCTTGGAAGTTTGCAAAACACCAAATAAAGACAAATTTGAAATACATCTGGCTAAACATTTTACTTCTCACTAGACTTTCTGAAAGACTAGGAAGATTTCATTTTTAAAAAGGAAAGGGGTAAAATTGTGTTTTATGTTCTTTTTTAAAAATCACACAGAGTATTTAAGTATAATTAAGCGAGGTAAGTAAACGTTCCCACTTAAAGTGAGAAAACTCAAAGCAACTGGCAAGACAGGAGAGGAGCCCAAAACAGAACACTGACTGGTGCAAAAAACGATCCAGTTGAAGACCAGAGCATAAAAAAAAACATGCACATGTCTTGGTAGGATGGTTAAGTAAACTTTTTTCATTGATACCGGGAGGCGGATGAAAGCAAAGACATGTCAGAAGTTTCTAATATCAACGCTTCTTGATCCGAAAGTAAAGGAAAAAAAATCCAAAAGGAAAATTCTGAAAGAGATTCATTTTAGTTTTCCTTGAAGTAGGCATTAAAAGATAACCATGATCTGTTACAAAAACATTTGTTTTCTTGAAGGAAAATGAGAAGAGAACATTTTTCCTTTATCAGAGAAATGTTTCAGCATCTGCAAAAGCACTATATTATTCTACAGACAAAAACAGGCCTGAAACAACTCATAAAAGCTGTAAAACATACCAATAAGCTTGAAGGAAAAAAAAAAAAAAAAAGGCATCTATTTTGGAGAAAAATATGTGCCAAAGAATGTTTGAGAGATGTAAAATTAGAACCCCTTTGAAAAGGAAAAGCCTGGTTAGTCCCTTCCTTTAGGAACATTCATATGTTTTGAAAGTTCATCTGAAAGAAGACTACCCTAACAATAACTACAACACTCTTCTGGGTAAACCCTTGGAAGTCTAAACTAAGTCTTGGTTTTGTACACACCTATCGTTTGGAAAACTTTTCTTCTTTCAGGGAGAGAATGATGGATCAATTAATTGCAAATATTTAGAGCATTCAGTATGAAAATTCATACTTGTAGTATGAATTTTAAAATTTTTTTTAGAGAAAAACTCAACTTACTGTCCAATTTCTGCCCAATAATGTCAGTCAGTCTCTCATATTCAATATGTATAACTCATTTATTTATTTATTTTTACTATAACATTGTTAGTATGTTTTAAGAGGAAAGCTCTTTTACAAAATAATTAGAAATAAGAATTTTACAGGTGATCACCCAGCACAAAGTAATTTGGAATTGTTTCTGTTACATGCCTTTTGTGATATCATGGAAAAAAATTAAGTGATCATATTTTTGTTCCATAAAAAAATACATAGTGGCATTACACACCTAAATTCCAGTTCCATTTTTCTCCATTCCTTAAAAGCTATAACTTACCATGAAACTTGAGAATTTCTCACCAACCCTAACTCAACCTTCAAAGAATTCAACATGTTCTGGTTTTGTGTTTTTTTACATGCTTCAAGTACTTTGTCTGAAGGTGATGTATAGTTTTACTTACCATCATATACAAAGTAAGTTCCATCTTTGAATACCAAAACAGCTGGCAATTCAGGCAATGTCACATACTGAAAGAGAGGGTGTTTTTCAATTAAACCACGGATGACTCAAAAATTTTATACAAATCTTAAAGTGTGCACAGCTAGACTACAGGGATATATCTTCAAGTATGTTTAAAGGACCATTTAAGCAGAGCCTATCATGAATTCTAGGCAGTAGAAAAACATGAAAATTTAAAGGTTTCATCAGTCTTTTACTATTCTCTACT